TGGGATGCGAAGCTTCCTGAGCATTAGAAATTCATTGTTTGAGCAATTAAATAGTTATGATGTTCCTTGACGTGATTTTAATCCATCCCCAGGAGCACTGTCCAGAACAGTGCTCAGGAACACTGTAGGAGTTGGAATATTCCAGTGATTATTCCCAGTTAGTTGGCAGTTTATATGCAGTCTCCTTCTTTTCAAGGTTGAGAGAGTTTTCTTGTTTGGGCTTGGGCCATCCTGTGCCAGTAGTCTTCAGTGCCAAGGAGCATTTCTAAGCATGTTTACTTTGCTAGTGTAGAAGGAGCCAAAATGATCACAACAGCCTTAACTTCTTTCCAGAGGCACTAATCTCATGGCTGTACTCCTAAATATAACTTGAGCATCACTGAAGTCATATTTGTCTAATAGTCTCCTAGGTATCTCTCTTTAATGAAGGGCCATAAATTAAGTCTCCTTTTGTAAGCATAATACTTTAAATTTTACATATTCCTATACATGTATCCCTATGTAATATTGTCAGAAATTTTAATTTAGGCAAACTTGAAATCTGCATGTCTCTTCGTGAAATTTGGATAATCTAAGTTTAAGAACAGCTAAGGAAAACTGTTCAATTTTTCAACAAGCAGCTGTGGCTTAATATATGCTTGTCTGGTTTTCAGAAAATTTGGGCTTAACTCTTGTTTCTCTTATGGAATTCTGTGTTATGTCAACTGAATCATTTAAACTCTCCTATGCTCCGTATACTCAACTCTAAAGTGGAAAAGGAAATATTTCCCCAAAGGTGACATTCATATTTTTGTTTTAAAAGGAAGAAAAAAAACACTTATGGATGATGTCCATATAAAACTTTATAGTTTGCAAAACACAGTTTGCCACTCCTTTTTATTTATTTAACCAGAATGAAATCTAACATTTAATGTTGAGGGAGGGGGATCATAGGATCATTTTAGGGGGATGCTTCATGGGAGCATCCACCCTAAAATTAAAGAGATAATTTTGATGAGCAATGCCAACACATCATCATTCTCTACTAACTTTTGTTACAATTACCTCCTTAGTCATATATACATGCACAAACTCAAAGGCAGTGGAGAATGTAATCTAATATCAGATACTAGTATCTCCTTCCCAGAGATTTGATTGTTATTATTTTCTGCTGATTCTGTTGGAAAATCTGATACCATAATCTCAAAAATTTGACTCTAGGCTCTTCTTACAGTCTCTTTTACCTTGTAGTTATTCAAAGCAGAGCCTTTAGCAAAAGCTTCCATTTTAATCTTTATCTGCTTTTCAGCATGTTTCCTTTGTTGTTTTAAGTGACAGTAAGATTATAGAAAACATTCTCTTATTCTTCTTTAATCAGAACTCTGACAACTCCCACTTTAACTAGGATTTTTTCTTTTCTTTCTATGTGAATTGAAAATAAAACTTACCTCGTTTAACCCACTTTCATTCTTAGGCTCTTCCAGCAGCAAGAATTTCCAGTGGGAGTCCTTATTTTTACTGCCTGTTCAAACGTTGAGTCTGAGTTACAAATATTGACTCTCACCCGTGTTCAATCTCTTTAACTATAAAAGACATTTTTTTATAAAGTAATAAAAAAAAAAAAAAGTGTTCAAACATCTTTTCACTTCCCTGTTTACATGACATTGCAGAATATGTAACTATTTCCTCGGAGAAATTTTCTCTCTATATATAAAGTTGTGGAATAATCATCATGTTCTAGGTTGCCTGCATGGATTTGTGCCACTAATATCTGATTATCTTCATCAATCACCTGCATGTTGTAAATTTTGAGGTATGCAACCTTAAGACAATCATGGTACTACAGACACGGATATTCTGCATCACACATTAATTCTGCTTTAGCAATTTTATTTAATTTTGTCATAAGCCTTAATATAGTACAGTCTGTTTGTAGTAGTGTATATTTAAAACCCTCATATTAAGCATGTCATCTTAGCTGTTCAAGAGAAGACCTTACAACAGAGTAGGAGCAAATCCTCTTCTAACTATTCAAAAAGTCATCCTTTTCAGAAAGGAAACATAAACATAAGCAATGTGTTTAAGTATAGGATAAATACAGACAACACATTTATGCTTGAATTTAGATAGATGGTTAGAAGTATTGAGCTAGCTGATAATTATAAATACCATACAAATACCATATAAATTTATACCACAGACACTCACAGTGACACTTCAACTTCATAAGGACATTGAGCTGTGATAAAGTTCTGAATTTCTGTCAAGAGACAGTGGAAAATAATAAAGGGAGGAAAGGATAATCTTTTCCCAGGTATCACAGTGTGACAAGAAAGTGATATTCAAAAGATGGAGGAATCAAAATGGAGCATTTTTTTGTGGGGGAATGGGAGGCAAAGCTAGACTGAGCACAAACATAATTCTTGATATATTTCTTTCTCAAAAAACACTAATGGTTTTATTTTTCACTCAGACTGACACTAAGACCAAGGCTTCCAGTGTTTTATTTTGCTTCCTATCTCCCTCAGCCTGTGAAGAAATTCCACTTTAAAATATACTAATTCTTCTTATAAGCAACTCAAACAATGTAGCTTGTATCATCAACTCTTCCTTACATGATATGACCATGAAGGAAACTTAATGGTTTAAGGCAGAAAAGAGTTCTTTCTATTCAATTTTTACTTAATTTTCCACGTAAACATTTTATTTAGAGGCATCAATAAGTATTTTAACTCACTTGATTGATTATATGGTATTTAAGAAATCATGTCAAATTTCTGGGATGCCATTCTGTTCCTAAGGGGGGAAAAAAAAAAAAAAAGGAACAGGGAACATTAGGCTTAAAAGGGCATGAGGGCAAATGTTGTGCATTTTAACACCCATGATTCTGTCTTACCAGCTCAACTTGGTGAAATGATTTTTCCATACAGACTTTGTCCGTTCCTTGCCAATAATTTTCCATTATGTTTTCAGCTTCTATAAGTTAAACTTTGCTGAGAAAAACCCTTCTGTATAAAGGGTACCTGATTTATTATTAATCCTCTTCAAAGAGAAAAAGCACAGAAGTTTGGGTTATGCACTAAACGGACGCTTCTTGACATTTAAATATGCTCTGCCAAATAAAGGTAAATGGCATCTGGTAGGACTGATGACATCACCATCACCTTTCTAGCTATGTACAGTCAATAGAAAGGATTCTGACATCTTTTTTGTTACCCCGACTCATCTGCGTTAATCTTCACTGTTAGACATGCAAAAGCTTTAATTTTTTACTTTGCTCTCTGAATCAGTATTCCCAAATTCCACACAAATCCTGGAATTCCTTATATTTAATGAATGTCCCTATTCTCATTTCCTAGAACATCTTTGTTATTGCTTTGCCAGGAGCAGATTTGGGTCATCACTTGAAAATTAAGTTGTTATAAAAAGGCCATGTTGACAGATGGCATAAATGGCATAGCTAATCAAATCTGCTCCAACATTTTAATGGCAACAGGGAATTATCACTATGCTACTAAATGAAGTTCTTAAAAATGTAGTCAGTAGAGCTGGTTGTGCACTGAAATTACAGTTCCCAGAATTCTAACTCAATGACACAGCAATGATGGTATTGGCTGTGGTTGACATATGTCTCAAAGGAAGTTCACAAACAGATTTACCTGGAGCCCAGCACATATAGTTCCTGAAAATGCTGCTTTCTGACAATACTCTTTGGACTCACCATTGCTTCAATAGCAAATGATGAATAGTGTCCAGGGTTTAATATGTTTTTTTTCAAATAGATTAATCTGAGAAGTGTTTGTAAACCCAAGTGAGGTTGTTTACATTCCATTTATTACTATAAAAATGTTTCCATTGCACCATTCTTCCAAAGTGGACCCTGTTTCCCATATTTAGTTGAAGTAGGGTAGCATTTGACATATCTTGACATCTTTCATTACATAGAGAACCAAAAATTACCTAAGGTAAGGAAACCATACTAATTGCCTTACTTGATTGCTTAGTCTTGTCAAAAGGCAGCGAGAAAGTTATTTGCTGTACAATCAGATATGTTATGGCCATGGATGCCAAAAGATATCATTTGGATATGCGAAGAAAATTTAAAAACCTTAACTGGGGAGAACCGCTTTAAAAGCAGGCCATGATGGTCTAGTTATTTACTTGCAATTTTGATAATGCTTTCCATTTTTAACAGTACCTTATGTCTAGGAAACTCTAAGTTATCATATAAACACAAGGGAATCGTTATATTAGTGTTACAAGTTACTTTAAAATTTCTTTGTCACATACTGCAAACAAGAAAAGGATATTGCAAACAGGTTATTGATATCACCTAATTTGATAAGAAATATGCATGCAACTTAAATTGTCTACAGCTACTGAGGACATAGAAGAAGCTCTAGTATTCTCAAATTGTCATGAGCACTGTTCAGAGGATCTGTTATCTAAACCCATGAACATTGATTGCATAGTAATATGTATATCTCAGTGTCTCAGATAACCTTGCCTGATAAAAACAGTGACTGGTTCATTACATCTTTTGTAGATTTGAATTTTCCTGGCTAAGAAAACTGGACAAAAACAATTCATCCAATTTACATCCATATGGTTGACATCAAACATAAAAATAGTATGGCTCAGTGCAGTCTTAAGTGTAATTATCCAGTGGAAAGGAAGCATTCCAATTTAAAAACTACAAATAACCTATAATATTGGGTTAATAATAACTCACTCATTGATAATGAGAGTTAATTCTCATTAATTAACTCTCATTGATAATGAGAGCTAATAATTCAGTTGAATTATTAACTCGTTTGCTCAAAATGGATGAAATGGTTGACTCATATTGCAACAGCCTCTTGAATAAAAGTTATACCATGCAAATCATATGGATTTTAAAACAAATCACATAATTTATTAATTTTCTCTGTCATTCTCTCCTTTCCTTCTACTGTCCTCTAATGTTCTTGTTTTCCTCCTATTTCTATCTGGCCAATGTCTATCTATTTCATCATTTAAAGATGCTCCAGTGGATTTGACCGCCACCGGCAAGACTGGGTAGACAGTGGTTGCCCTGAAGAGGTATGTGAGTAGTCCTCAGTCCATCAGAGATCTTTCTTATGATGCTTTTTTTATGATTATGAAGAAGGGTTTCAAGGCCAAAGACATCCTATATCTATCCTTGTCATTTGGTAGAAATAATGTAAATTGTAATAAAGAAAAAAAAAAAAACTTAGGTAAACAAGGTAAACATTCTTTCTCTGAGAATACACTTAAAAAAAAAAAAAAAAAAAAAAAAAAAAAGTACCAGAAGCTCTGCCTCATAACAATGCCTTTTCACTGTTTTTCTCTTAGGTCTTCTCTTTTTCTTGCCAGAAAAGGGGAAGAAATTGTAATGTTCTTCCTCCCAGAAAACCCTCTGGCAGTGCAATCATGCACAGGCATTGGTGCATGTCTTACATTTTGCTTTTGAAGTCTGCCCAAATAATTTAGTACAGAAAAAAAAAAAAAAAAAAAAAAACATAGATGAATTCAAATAGATTAAAGATAAATAAATAAATACAAGGCATTTGAATTTCCTTTCATGGAGAGGAAGGGAGAGAAAAATATACTTAAGCGTGTTAATAGTGAACTGTCAAACAGGAACTGTGGACCTCCTCTGAAAGACACACTTTGGATACTGCACCAACGCAGTTCATTTTCAAGATATATTTATAAATGTTATACTGCTCATTCTTTCCTAGTGTCCTCCCTTTAGAACAGGTATGGTTTTCTTTGCTTGTTTGTTTTTTTTTTGTTTGTTTTCATCTGGGGATTGTAGTAATAGGAAGAAAGTAATCTACAACACTTTTAATCTTCTTATGGCCATAAAAAAAAGTTACTTTTCCATTATGGCTGCAAGGTCCTAATTCTGTCATGAGTTACAGCAACATTGCCCTTCTAGAGTATATTGTCAGGTGAAACTAAGGGCAAAATGTAGCCCCAAGTGTCTAGTTAGGAAAGCACATTCTGTTTTATTTTCAGTAGAAGCAGAGAGAAGTAATGATATAAATCCAGTCTGATGAAAGAATTTTTTTGCTCCTATAACTGTAATTGCAAAATAACTGCATCCTACATAATGCCTTGGTAAGTGGGCTTGAAGCTTCAGCTTTGCAGTTTGTATATTGTTAAGAATGGAATTTCTGAGAGATTGATTGTCTGTGGATCACAACCTTTTCAAGAATATAAAATAAGATTTACTTGTATTATCTGTTATTATAGGGCACAATCTTTGTATTGCTTTAATCCAGACTGTAATTAGCTAAGAATTAGTTGTTCCTGGTGATGAAGTTATGCAAAAAAATCCTCTCTAACAGACAATAGTTGTACTAACCTGCCAATTCTCCCTTTTTCTTCTAGATTTACTATTGCTAATGCTCCAAAGTTTGCTGCATGTTCTGAGAGGAAATTATCGATACACTAAGTGTATCTGAGAAACTCATAGTTTGATTTGCAGTTTCAAGCTACTTGACTGCTACTTACAGTCTAGCTTTCAGGCTAGACTAGAAACAGCAGCTTACATAATGTATTCCAGAATGATACTTTGATCTCACTGCTGGAGCTCAATGAAGGATCAACAGTTAGCACAGAGGTTAATTTTAGATTTATTCATTCAATGATCATGAATAATGAGGGTTCTTATAATATTTCCTTTTTTTGTAAGTTATATTTTGAGCTAAATTTAGATGAAATTGCATTAGTGAAATTAACAGTGGCTTTCAAGCTAAAACACGAATAAATTTACAGAATAATTATAATGCAGGTACCGATACATTTTTAATGTAATACATCGTTTCCAGTAAAACAAAAAACAACCAAATATCCATACATATTAAAAGAAAGACAATACCTACCAGATTTTGACAGGCAGATCTCAAGAAAATGTACTGGCTTTGTGGGATTTCACTTCTAATTAAAATGAATAGGGATAGCAAGAATTACAGGCAGTTCCCACATTTGCTGCTAGTTAATTATTTTCCTGTAAGACTGTGTGATCCATGAAAGAAAGAAGTCATTACAGCTCAGAATTCATACAAGTGTCCACAAATTTAATTGAATAAATAAATTTAAAAAAAGGTGACATACTTGTGTAGAAATATTTGCCTATGAAAATTATATCTAAATCATTGTAAACTGGCATATATTATTTATTTTACATTAATATAAGAATTTTTATCTTATCTTTTTGTATAATATTTACGTTTTGTATTATAATTATTATATTATGCACCTATAATACATGCGATATTATTAATATTATAGAAATAATAGGTATATAGTTAATATGTTGCTCTGTAGTTTGGGATGTAAATATTCTCTAGCCTGAATACATACACACATTCACAGATGCATATTGTTCTGTGACTACTGCGTGTAAAGCCTAGTTATATGCTGTTGTTCACACTATTCACTATGAACAGCCATGATTTAATTCCCACGTATCTGAACAATTTTTATGGCACCTAGACCAATAGCACAATGAGTATTCACAATAGAAGAGTGATAATTTGAATGATATTCTTAGGTGTTAAAATCTGGTTGGGGAAAATAACGTTTGACATTCAGAGATGACTTTGAAACTTTGCCATTAACAACTGAGCATTGTAAGTTTTGTTGCTTAATGCTCTGTAAAGCACTTCAAATGAAAAAAAAAAAAAGGAAGAAAATAAAATAAAATAAATAAATGAATAAAATAAAATAAAATAAAATAAAATAAAATAAAATAAAATAAAATAAAATAAAATAAAATAAAATAAAATAAAATAAAATAAAGAGCTTTTGAATTTCCTTGTTTTAGGGCTTCCATTTTCATTCTCTTTCCTGTGACAGCTTGTCCATTCTTAAATCCTTCATTCAGTGACAGTACACCCTAAGAATGTTTTGGTTTTTGTGTGTGTTTTTTTCCCCAACAGTCAAAGGATAAGATTTGTGAGAAGAGTGTAGACACAACAGAAACACCTCCATACTCCACCACAACCCTTCAACCAACCACAACAAAGTTCAGAGTTTTAACAACCACCAGAGGATCCACCACTTCCCAACTGCCAACTAGCTTGCCCACAGAAGGTGAATTGCATAGAGTGCTTTTGTCTATTGTACAGACATGACATTTGCAACTCTAAAACAAATATGTTTCCTCTAAGTATGTGTTCATGTTGTCTTTTTCTCTTTGGGGTAATGGAAAGAGTAGGGAATTCCAGTCAACTACTTTTAAATTGCAACTTGCTCTTGCAAAAGTAAGTGTGGGTTTGATGAGCACTGGCAGAGGCAGAGGAGTGATGGTTGAGCAGACTACTGGAGAGCTTGTTCATGTTCTTGTAGCTACCAGAGGCCGTAGTCCCAAATTTGTTGAAATATTAGATGGAGAAAGCCCTGTTAAAGGTAGTGAAGAAACTTCCATGACAGAGTTAAAGAATTTGTGGTCACCTTGTGTATTGTATTTAGCCAGGCAAAAATTGGAGATGAACAAAACTGAAGAACTCTTTGAAATTTGCCTGTTCACTTTTTTCAGTCAGTTGGCACTGTTCTTTCATGTAGTGCTCACAGTTGTGAAATAGTTTCTGTAGGCTTCTGAAATTAATTATCTGGGTAAATGATAAAGTGTCAGTTCTCATCCTTGTTCCACTGGCTTCTTAAATATTGCCTTTCTGTGGATGAGAATGGATTCTACTCTATGCTATGGATATCCTGTTTTCCTCCTTCTGGGGAGAATTCAGCTGGATACAAAAGCTAACCAAATCTAATCAAATAGCATCTATAAAACAGAGCAGAGTAGGGACAAGATTTCTGTTGGAATTGGATATTAACACATGGGAAGCTAGCAGGTGTGTGCAGAATTTCTAAGTGGCCTCTGACAGGAAATTTTAAGCTGAAGGCATTACAATGAGGGAATCTACTGATAAAAACGACTTGGTTTTCTTTGCAGCAAGGGAAGTTCAGAAACCATCAATGGAAGATTTGGACTGCATTAGCAGAATTATTCCCATATGCACACCTGCTAATATTGCCCTGGGATTTTATTCATTAAATCTCACAACAAGAGGGAAAGGAAATAAATAGGATTTAAAACTGGTAGACCTTTTTTATAATTCTTAGAAGAGGAGCTAGGTATTGTTTCATTTTATTGCCATATGCTGGTTCATGCAGTCCTTAATATGATAGAATGCTCAAGTATTAATGCATAACAAAAATAAATTATTTCTAAGTGCTATGAGGTGGCCCTTATTTACCAGTATTTTGAATCCTGCTTTACACTGCAACAGTTTCATATGAAGTAAAGCCTGGTTTGTAAGTAAAAACACCATGATCTTATTCTCATTGAATTGAATATTAAATTATTTCTTAGTTGTGGAAGTTGTTTAGCATTAGAGAGAGAGTCATTTCTAAACCAAATAATGACCTAGAAATATGCTTTTTGCTACTGCTAACTTTGAATTTCCTTTATAGATGACACCAAGATAGCGCTGCACCTAAAAGATAATGGAGGTAAGAGATGATTCTTTTATTTGTAAATAATGTCAGCAGTTTATCAAATTACACCCCACTGAAATTCATTAATCAAAATCATACTGTAGAAATAGCTTTTAACAGATTCCCAAGGGACTTCAGAATTCCACATCTCTACAGAAAACCATAAGGGCAAATAAGCTTAGCAACTACTTAGTAAATTAAATGTTTTCATCTCTCTTTATAAGCCTTTAATAAAATAGGTTTAATTAACTTCTTTAAAAAATGATATATTAAAGAAAAAGTTTGAATGTATCAATACATTTATTAACTGTATTCCTGTATTATAAAAACAGAGTATTAAACTGTACAAGGAGAGGATATGATGCTAGTACTAAATTATAATATTCTTATATCAAATTTTTGATATGGTTTAGTGAAGGACTTGTTAGTGTTAGGTCAGAGGTTGGACTCGGTGATCTTGGAGGTCTCTTCCAACCTGGATGATTCTGTGATTCTGTGATTCTGTGAAATTCATTCATAATAATGTGTTATGTGACATTTTATTAATAAGCATATCCATCTTGAATCTGTGTTTCTGTATGAACACAGATCACATATTCACATTCTACTCTGTGATTTAATAAGATCAGAGTTTTCTTTAACTTGGTTCCCTGATAAGGGTCTCTGTTAAATAAGAATCTGCAGAAGACTACTCTTGTCATCTGCTGTGTGGGTTCAAGAACTGAGTCCTGAGGTTTGTTCTTTTTTCCTTTGAAGTCAATAAGAATTTTGCTATTAGAATAGGACTAGGTCATTAGGTGTAGGCTGGGTTTGTGTTTGCTTACTGAGGAGAATCAAAATATTTGGGTTGATTTCTACGGGCATTGGAACAGTCTGTCAAAGTGGAGAGTGATTTGCTGAGCAAATTGAAACAAATTATATTTCCACTGATGTAAAGGGAAATATTATTGGCACTGATTGCCTTTCCCCTGGGCAGAGGAGGCTGTTTGACATGGATTAGACACAGAAATGATGTATTCAAATAAAATCAGCTATGAACGCAGTGCAGTACTGAGTACTGTTAGGCATTTTGTCTATGGGAATATCCATGAATCTTTCTTTTTCTTGAAATTAAATTACATATTATTTTGTGAAAAGTGCTCCAGTGCTCTTAGAGATCAATAAACTACGTGAATCAGTCAGCACTTCACTCACAGGTTTCACATCTGTTCTGTACATAAGATGCCTTTCCATCTGAGCTGGACCCACTCTCTGCCCTGCAAACAGTCACTCCGGGGGCAGGCAGAGAGCCTGGGACCAGGCAGCTCTCCATCTTGAGCATCCCATCAACAGCTCAAAATAGTATGCTGTTACAGCAAAAGTAATTCAAAAGGTGGACTTTAAAATATGTATTCCAGGTTTTTCTCAGCTTGGGAGTTGCAACAGAATTATATGTCACTTGTCTTATGTTTGTCTAAGATCTGGAAAGAAAAACCCTGTGAAAGCAGATAAAATGCTGACTATTAGATAAAATAAGGGATAGCTGTGGTCTGCTTGGTGGAGTTTGTAGGGTTCATGGCATCACTTATGTTAAATATAAGACATCTGTTCCCATGCAGAACGCTGCTGCATTTTAGGATGACAAAACAACAACTGATGTGATTATTAATTTTCCTTGATCCGTTTCTTTTATTCTTGAAATAAAAATAATAAAACAAAAATAAAAGAAAAATAAAAGAAACCGACTTTAAATAACACAGAAGCAAAACAACACATCAGGATTTCTCATTCACACAGTAAACATAGCTTTTAATCTGGGAAATTCTTTCTGATAAATCTTCAATTATGCATTGAATTTTCCAGTGACCCCTAGAATAGTCTCAGATAAAACCTCTACAGCCACTAGCATGTTCTTTCATTCTCTGTGACTTGTCAGGCATTCAGGAAGAATAGATTAGTTCAGGTCACGAATATAACATCTTTACTTTTTCATACTAGATCTTGAAAACCTCTAATGTTAGGGAACCTTTTATAATGGAAAACTAAAGCTATATTAAAGCTATATAAAACTATAGGCCATTAATGGCCTATATGATTTGATATGTCCTTGGATGGTAGCAGTCAATGTCTGGTTGTGTGCAACAAGAGGATTCTTTAGAAATTCTGCATCTCACCTCTGCCGTGAACTTTTGAAACCAACTAAAACACAACTACATTTAAATTAAATTTCAGGTTCGGGTCAAAGTTCTTTGACTTTCTAATTATATGAGAAAAGCATCTGCAAGTTAGTGCTCTAATTCATTCACAATTTTTCATGGCATATTTTATCAAAAATTTCAAATTCACTTGTTTACATTTATTCTGTGTTCTCTCTTTCTTCATATGCACTTGATAGATGCCTAGTAGAGACAGGATTAAAACAATATAAAAAAATAGCTGGCATACCCTCATTTTTACTGAATCTTATTACTCTTTAAAATAGCAAGTAAGTATTTGTAAGATTTAAGATTTAAGATATATGCAGGAGAAAAAAAAAAAAAAAAAAAGCGTATTTTGTTATTAACTGCAGTTACTGTTATTTCATTTTTCTAATAACACAGCACAGCTGACTACAGAGTTTAAAAGCTACAGCAATATCATATTTTCTTGTTGAAAACTCTTTGGTGGATGATTTAAATGATTGGCCAACACATCTAGACATTTCATTTGACCTTTTTAGACACCTTATTGTGATGATTTGATTGCTATAAGTCCCTCTCAATCCGTCAGCTTTATAACTCAGAAAAAAATGTGTGTGTGTTGGACATTAAGTGTCAGGAAAACTGCTAGTTCTTCTCATTCATCAAAATGTATTCAGAAATCGCTGTTAAAAAAAAAAAAAAAAAAAACATCTTCCTTGGAGAGAAAGCTGTTTTGTACATTTATGAATAAGTCCATTCCAGCATACACAGTGACATGAAATGTCTGTGTCCTTATGCTTGCACTCTGGTGGACTTTTTCAAAGATATTCTGGATATGAACATTAGTGATACACAGGATTAATATTAGCCTTATAAAGAACTTAATTTGAGTTTGAGAATTGTGAAACTGGTTAAGAAAATACCAAAATACAGACCTGAGTTTTGAAGTTTTGATAGAGTCTTTTTATATGTCTTATATACAGTGATACATTTACCCAGCATTAGATTTTTTTTTTAAGTGTCCCTAATGCCTGGAATCTAGCTCCCATTAGTCATCTGTCTCCTTAATCTCCCTTAAAAATTACAGTCTGAGCTCTGTGTACCATAAGAATTCTTGACAAATTGTGAGGAAAGCTCAGTCCCGTTTTTCTTCTGTATCCCGAACTCCAGGTAAAATATATAGTTACTAACACTAGTTCATGCTTGGTAATAATTATCTAACTTATTTTTTATTACTATGTTAAGTTTCTAAATAATGTGATAGTACATAAGTGTGTCTTATTGAACTGAAGCCTTCCAAAGCTGAAAACATAAGTCTCTACAGCTTGGAAAAGCAACAACCCCTGATATAAATACTACATCTTCTTTGTGCATTAAACATATAATGAAATGTATTCTAGATATTTTACACAATGGCCTGTGGACTACATGAGTATTTTTTAAAGCAATTACAAATGAAAAGCACTGAACTAATCCATTCTGGGTTAAAAAAAAAAAGATTATAGATTAATAATAATTATTTTTAAGACATTTAACTTGGTAGCATTGAAAAATTATGATCATTTCTGTTTGTTTCTTTGATACTTTGGATTATATTTAAGTGTTCCTTAGACCAGGATATTTGTGTCTTTTCCAGAATTTCTTGCATCTTTACTGCATCTCGATTTTTCTGCCATCATCTTATTAAAGCTATAATTATAAAATGATTATGATATGATTTAAAAAAATATCACCAACGAAACCTGCAGAAATTTAGTCCAAATTACTGACACTAGAACGTATCCCCTAGAAAGTAAATGTTATTTTTGGCCTCTAGACATTTTTACATCACATTAAGTATTAAACATCACATTAGCTTAAAGCATGATTTTAAAACAGTTTAAACTGAACAAAACTGTGTAGACACTTCAACTTACATTTAAGTTTGACTTACACTATTTAATTTTTTCTGGTTTTCTAAGACAGGTATAAAATGATATAAGGTATCTATTCTTACAGTTGTCATGACTTAACTTTAAAGGCATTGTTAAATCAGCATAATTTGAGAACTTTATACCATCTCAACAGGTTAACCTAGATCTAAATGGAAATCTAATGGAGAGCTAAGTGTAATAGGCTTGGTAAACTTTTAAGACTGTATTACTTTTGTCTTATTTGCTCCTGTTGCTGTCAGTGCTGTAGTAGTATGACAGCTAGTGCACAAAAAAAAAAAAAAAAAAAAAGTTTCTGTGATCATCTGTCTTTATAAGTACCTACTCTGCATGGAGTTAACCCAGCGGTTGCAGGCAGCAGATTCCTACAATCTCTTCTACACTGGTCACTCATCTTTGAGATTATAGTGCATGGGTCACTGTGAAGGTTAAAAATAGATGTCAAGTGAAAGAAGACTTATATAGTTGTACGTTTTACATTGAAGCTGACATACCTAGGGTTCTGTACCCATGAAGTGGGGGGTAGTAAATCTGGAAGCATGAGAAGTTGACCTGATGGTCTTGTGTTTGTTTTCAGTCAGGTTAAGTCAGTGGGTTGACTGAATTGAAATTCTTATAGTCTGGTAAAGTTTTGCTCTTCTGGATGTAGCAAGTCAGCTACATTGCCAGGACAAATGCCATGGTAAATTATTGAGATTCGTGATAGCCACTGCTTGATTTTACCAAGCCATTTTAATGGCTTAAATGGTCTCAAGCCACTCAGACTGAAATTAACACCAATAACAACTGTTGCAGTGTTAAGTGATATTTTAGGGCTGAAGAATGTACATCCTTAGTTTAACAAAGTTAGTGCTGGCATTCTATAAACAGAGGGATTTAGTATTAGTGCACTCACATCCGTTTACTGCACTAAGCAGTTGATGAG